GGGGCGCAGGGCGCGCTGGGAGCTGTAGGCGGCGTGAGGCATGCTGGGAGGTGTAGTCCAGGCGCGGCGGGACCCCGAGGCGGGCCGGGACGTCTTATCCGGCGACATCAGAGGTGACAGTGCGGGGCTGGGGAAGCGCTGCGGCCTCCCCGGCTCTCCGCACGCATCTGCCGTGCGTCTGCTCAGCAGCCACATCGTGAGGTCCCAGCCTTTCATTTCTGTTCGTGTCTCCTGCAGCTCCTGGGCCAGGCTGCCCGAAACATGGTGATGCAGGAGGACGCCATCCTGCACTCGGAAGATGTAAGCGACCGTCTGCCTGAGCAGCAGCTGCTGCTGGGAGGGTGGTGGGGACTGGGATGTGGATGTGTGAGCAGAGCCCTGGAATGAAACATGTGGATGCAGGTAGACGGGCTGGAAGCCAGAATAATTCAGTGATTCTTCAAACACGTCTCTGGCCTTCCTGCAGCACAGGTCAGCCATAAGCTGGGCCTTGGTCTTAATAGAAAGCAAGAAGGGGTGTAGGCTGAGGAAAACCCTGCTCTTGTGCTCCTCGCTGGCAAGGAAGAAGGGAGCATGGCACCCATGGCGGCTGCTGCTGCTGGTGTTTCTGTGGCTCTGCAGCGATACCGTGATGAGCGTGGCAGAGGAGCTCCCGGGGCAGAGGGTTGCTTTTCTTTTTTTTTTCCCCAAGAGTTATGTGTCAGTCTGCTGAGATTGTGGCAGGGAACTGTTACTACAGAGCACTTTGGGACTGCCAGGAAAGCAAAAGCTCTGGAAGCTTCCATTACTTTCAGACCTCTTGCCCGGCTGTTTGCTGGCTGAGATTGCTTGTAAGAGACATTCTTTCTTTGTCTTGTTCTCCACAGAGTTTAAGAAAAATGGCCATAATAACCACGCATCTACAATACCAGTAAGTAGGGGTGTAATGTGCTCTGTGGGGTGCTGAGCTGGTTCCTTCACCCCATTTCCCCCTTCTTTAAGACCCTTTATAGTGGAGACTTTGCACAGAGCCCACTCAGACTGATCCCTTTTGAACAGCTCCTCGAAACTGGGCACAACCTGGAGCTGGGATCCTTCAGCCCTCCTAATTTCTCCGTGGAAGTTGGAGCAGTTTCTGGCAGTGAGCTGAGATTTCTGCCTCCTCTTTGCTGTGCACCAGCTGTCCCGTGAGAGTGTGTGATGCCCCAGGGCTAAGAGGGAGAAGCTGGTGCTGTGCACTCTGGAGTTAATCCAATAATACCAGAGTTTTGCCCTTTGTAAGCCCTTACCTCTTTTTGATCAACAAAGCATGAACCCTAAGATGATTTTTTTTAATACTCCTTTCTTTCCTTTTCTTATTTAGGCAGGAAGCAATTCAGAAAAAGTGAGTACCCAGCTGAGGGACTGCATGGAAAAACTGGGAGCTAGTGTGTAGCTCATGGGAAAGGGAAGAGTGGTGGAGTGGCACAGAGGATAATGCAGCTAAAGGGGTTTTGCAGTTGTGTTTGAAGTTGCTGGCACAGCAGGATAGTCCTTTGAAGAGATGAGAGCCTGGGTGAAGCAATGATTTATACTCAAACTTCTTTTTGTTTCATTAATGTGATAGAGCCTGTGTGCTTGATAGGTGATGAAAGTGCGTAGAGCAGAGCTGTCTGCTTATGGGCGTGCAGAGTAAGGTTTGCCTTGTGCTTGTGGGGATATGGAGGTTGGCTGTGGGACCCCAGGGTTTCCCTTTTCTGTTGTGCCAGTTTTCAGGTGCAGGCAGCACAGTGCAGGTCTGGGGAGCAAATCTCACTGTGAATCTCTTCTTTGGTCCCCAGTGTCGAGCAATCATCAAACCTACAGGACCAGCTGAGTCACTTGCTGAAATGAAGCGTAGCTGAAGTCACGAGGACGCCTTGACGGGAGCCTCGCGCAGCCATCAGTCCTTTCCCCTCCCGAGCCTCCGGCTGGCTGGGGCTGGGTATCAGCTGGGATAAACACGGAGTGTCTGTTCCCGAGTGCGTGGTCCCTCTCGTGTTCCCGTCCACGCCTGCACCTCTAGAACGCATGCCCGCTCGCTGCATCTCATCGGGACGAACACAGCACAAACTTTCCTTCCCCCAGCAGCTCCTGTGCTCGTCACTTTCTGTGTCTAGCGTAAAGTGCTCGGCCTCCGCCAGCACTGCAGGCATCCGAGTTGTTTGGCTAACACATGGCCAGCATGTGTCTGACCTGGCCGGCCAGCCCAGCATCCAGCACGTGGTGCCCCTTCTCTCCAAGGTCTGACGTCTTTTGTGGCCATGAGAGGACGGTTTTTCTTCCTGTCCCTAACCTCTGCTCAGTTTGGAACCATCTCCTGTGAGATGATGGAGGGCTGGTTGTGAGTCCAGGAGCAGGAATCATAAAGACAATTTTTTCGGACACATTCGTTTCCCCCCGTCTGTCTCCTCACAAGAAATGCAGAAAATAGAGCTGTGGGTTTTGTATACAGGTGCCTGCAGTTGGATGCTGGTGCTTTGGCACGGAGGGGATCAGTGCAGTTTTATTTAGAGCTTGTGCTGATCGACATGCCCTAAGTGCTCTGGTGGGCGAGAGGTGCTTCAGTGCAGGCTGGGGTGCCAGTCCCAAGGCGGATTCTTAAAAGCAGGAATCTGGGCACGCACGCTCTGTCCAGCTGGTTTTATTTGATAAGCATCCTGTTCTGAGGTTATCTTACTTTCAACAAAGCCAGAGTTTGGAACGTCCTCCCCTTGCCAGCCCATCTGCGCTGCCTTTGGCCTTCAACTGCATTCTTATTCCTGCGTTGCTGCTCCAGCTCTCAATTAAACAACCTTGGATGTGTTACATGTTTGTATGGGATTGGGAAGGTATCCAAAGGCACAGCTGGGAAGTGGGTAGTTGGGGGAAAGAAAGCAAAAAGAGAGAAAAAAAAAAAGGCAAAAACCCTTGCAAGCCTGTATGTTCTGTATGTTCCCTTCTGAACTGTTGTGTGTATGGGGATTAGTGGCTGGGCTCCTGTTCACTTCCCAGAGAGCAGTATTGGGCCCAGGCTATAAATACTGTGTCTGGTTTTTGTAAGTCACTTATCTGGAGCACTTGCAGCGCACTGGAAGCACTTCATTGCCTGAGTGTGCTTTTCATCAGCTGATAGGACGAGGCAGATGGATAGCGGAGATCAGCCCGCCACATTCCCGTTGTGGATCTGCAGCAAAGTGCTGCAGGATTCCAGTTCCCGCGAGGCAGAGCTGTTTCCCGGGCTGGTTCTGCCGTCCTCTCCACGGCTGCTCGTAGGGGCCTCACCCTGCGGCAGCCTCTTCTCCTTTTAGCCCAGGCTAATCTGGGGAGCCCAGCACTGCTGCTGCTTCTCTGTTCTCGCGTGGACACAGCAGAGGAGGGTGTAAAAAGCTAAAACAATTTGCTTTACTGCAACAAAAGGCTTGTGTTTCTATTCACTTTCTTCTTTTTTAAGCCCCTAACCCTTTTCTCTCCTGCGTGTGGTTGTGTTGTGGCAGAGAGCAGGGTCTGTACCCTGTGCATGGCGGCGCCGGTGGCTGTGGGCCCGGGCTGGGGCCTGGCTGGGCCGGACTCGGTGCCGAAAGCGGGTGCCGGGGGACATGGGATGCCGGGGCGGAGCGAGGCCCGGCCGGGCCAGAGTCCAGTCCATTCCCGAGGCAGAGGCAGTAAGGGGGTCCCCAGCACCCACACGGGGGCTGTTCCTGGTGTGCCCCTCTGGGGCTTGGGAGCCCCTCGGGTGGGATCTGCCTCATGGGAAAGCAGTGTGCGGTTTGGGAGGGCTCAGCTCGCGCTGCCCTGCGGAGCTGGGTTCAAGAGGCTCGTTTTGGGGGAGCATCAGGCTCCCGCAGGGACTGGGGTTGTGAGTCCCGCTTGAGTGCAAGTTTGGGGTGTCCTTGGGGCTTGCCAAGGGGAAGAGCTCACAAGCTGTGTTCCTCTTGTTGGGGGGTCAGGGCCTTGGGGATGGCCCTGGCGTGGTGCCCGTCACTGCGGCATCAGGTGCCAGCCCCGCATCCCCGGTGGGCGGTGGCGTCCTCGGCCGGGGAGCAGAGCCCCCGAGCAGTGCAGGTGAGGGCCGCGACGGGGCGGGAGGGACGAGCTCAGCACCTCCGGGCGCCCGCTTGCCAGCCCAGCTTGCTGCTGCGCGCAGAGGAGAGGGGACGGGGTCAGCTGTACCTGGGTGGCACCTGCGTGTGAAGGAGAGGGGACACGGTCAGCTGTACCCAGGTGGCACCTGCCCTCCCTGCCTCAGGATTACTATGGCAAAGAGCTGCGGAGCTCGGAGGACCTGAAGACCATGGCTTGCGTCACGCCAGCCCAGCCATTGCCCTGGGCAGCCAGGGAAGCGCTGGAGCGAGTGCATGAAGAGGTGGCGGCCAGGTGGGCACCGGGGACACCTCGCTGGGAGCGCGGGTGCCCGGGACACGGCGCCAGCCTCGTGCCCGTCCCCCAGGTACTACGGCTGCGGGCTGGTCCTGCCCGAGTGTCTGGCGTCCTGCCGCGTGCTGGACCTGGGCAGCGGCAGCGGCAGAGACTGCTATGTGCTCAGCCAGCTCGTGGGGGAGAAGGGCCACGTCACCGGCATAGACATGACCAAGGAGCAGGTATGGCCCGGGTGTCCCTGCTCAGAGGCACCTGCGGGGGCTGACCTGGCCCCCGGCTCCCATTCGGCTCCCTTTGCCACTGCAGGTGGAGGTGGGGAAGAAGCACCTTGCCTACCACATGGACAAATTTGGCTACCGAGTGCCCAACGTGGACTTTATCTGGGGCTTCATGGAGAAGCTGGAGGACGCCGGGCTGGCCAACGAGAGCTACGATGTTGTCTGGTAGGTACCACGTGGGGACATGTGCCAGGGCTGTGGGCAGGGACCCGCACCTGCATCACCCAGGCTGCTTGCATGTTTGAAACTGTGTTTTGCTTCTCCTGGTGTCCAAACAAGTGTCTGCATCCTTTCCCCAGCTCCAACTGTGTGGTCAACCTCGCGCCGGACAAGAGCGCTGTCCTGAGGGAGGCCTACCAAGTGCTGAAGGTACCTGCACCCCAGCCTGCCCCTTTCTCGGCCCATTTCAACCCCGGTTGCCATCGCTCAGTGGGACGGTACCTCATTTGCTCCCTCACAGCCTGGGGGAGAGATGCACCTCAGTGATGTCTATGTGAGCGGGCACCTGAGCGAGGCCGCACGGGCACACCGGGTGCTGTGGGGTGCGTAGGCGCTCCGAGGAGGCGGCCGGCGGC